GGCTCTCGGTTATAAGATGGCGGCGCTGAGCGGCGGCGGCGGCGCGGAGCAGGGCCAGCCTCTGTTCAACGGGGATATGGAGCTCGAGGCCGGCGCCGGCGCTGCGGCCTTTTCGGCTGCAGATCCTGCCATTCCCGAGGAGGTGAGTGCCGGCGCCACCCGCTGCCCCTCCCGGCGCTGCTCGGCCGGCCGGTGTTTATGTGGGGAGAGGCGGCGGCGGAGGCTCCGTGCCCTCGGCCGCTGTCCCCGGCGGCGCCGCGGCGGGGAGCGAGGTGGACATCGCTCAGGGCCCCTCTCTGCCTTGCGGTTCGTCGCTACGTAAACACACACAACGGCCCGGGGGGGTTCCCTGGCCCCCACCCGAGCGCGATCGGGGCCGCGGCGGCGGTGCAGGCGGCTGTCAGTAGGGGGCGAGACGTGGGGCTGTCGGGGAAGGTCACGCCTGGCCGAGGCATCCAGCCCTGCATCCCTGAGATGTTTGCCTCATGGGGCGCAGGGGTGCGGGAGGGAGGCGGCGGCCAAGTGGGGGATGCGGTTTCCTGGCGGCCAAGACCCCGGCCCGAGGCACTGCCGGAGTTGTTAGTGCCCGGCCGTAGGTGACCGGCGCAGCGCTCGGTCTCCCCTCGCCCTACCCCTCCCCCCAGGCCGCTGCCCCTTCTTCCAGTTTTTTACTTTTGGGGGGACTTCTCTTCATCAGTTTTATCCAGCGGGTGGTTTTGATGTAGTCTTGACTCCCCCCTCCCCCCGCTCCGTTGCCATCCCGGGCTCTGGGTCGCGGTCCCTGATGTTCGTCCGCGCTCAGTGGCCGCGGGTAACCCCCTTCGCATCCGCGTCCGCCGCCCGCTCCGTTTCCAGTTGTCGGACCTGTCCCCCTCCCAACCTCAGCTTCCTCGAGAGAGCGTTTCTGCACGTCTCACCCTCGTCCTTGGAGGCCCTGAACTCTGTACCCCCGCTCCCTGTCAACATCGTCATCTATTGTTATCTTCACTTGGGCCGCTTCACTTTCTGAACCCTGAAGCTGTCAAGATTCCATCAGGATACGCTCACTTCTTTGAACCCTTGCACTGCGGGCACTTAGTAGCTTAGTCTTTCGGCACTTAGTAGCCAGTCTTTTGGGGTCTCGTTTTTTTAAGTAGGTTCGATTGCTTTCTCTGTGTGTGGGCCTCCTTTTTGTGCTGTTTTAGCCCTTTGGCTCTTCCCTTTCTTTAGTACTGCTTCATGATCTCTCTTTAGTATATTGTTCAGCTTCTTGTCACCTTGTCAAATAGCTTATTTTATCAAAATGTACTACATTTAGTTTTTAGTACCTTCTTACATAAAATAATACACCATTATGCTTTACAGATAATCTGTGGTGTAACTGTGCTTTACAATAATTGGTTAGATAATGTGACTTATTCGGTGACTTCACTCAAAAGTTGTTTTTTTGTTTTTTTCCTGCTGCTTCGTTTTTTTGTTTCTCAGTTGTCTTGGCTGTGTGGCTTTTGGGTTTTTCTTTCTGCTTCATCATGTCTGCCTAAGAAATCCATCCAGTACACTTGCTATATTCAGTAGCAGTTTGTCCACAATAATATTTGTTTTCCACTCTTTTATAGCATCTTCCATCTGTCCCCTAAATGTGTTCTGTACTATTATGTGATCTAAAATTCACATGTTTTTCGTATTCCTTAAAATCATTCCACTTTCCAGTGTACACTTCTGCTCAGATCAGTTCCCTCTATCAATTCATCTCCCTCAGTTTCTTGGACTCTGAGGCTAGAGTGCTTTCTCTTCTTCCATTCCTGGTTCAGTTTTCCTTGTGCCCAGCTACCACTCATTCTGCCTTGTTTCCTGGCCTGTGGTACTTAACTTGCTGAAGCTTCCTCTTGTCTTCCCCGCACCTCCACATTCCTTCTTATTTATAAACAGTTTTGTTCCGTTGACAAGGAAATTTATTTTTAGGACACATTGTTTTTAATGGATTAATACTAGGAGTCACATCTGCTGTCTGTTTTCTTCAGGAATCGGATATGCCTTTGTCTTTTCAGGCACAGGTGCTTTTGGACTTTACTCTGCAGTGCATGTGTGATTTTGTTGAGTTTCATCTCTGTGGAAGACTGGGGCGGATAAATTAATGTGCAGGGATTATGAAATTGTAACTGATTATAACATTGTTTACAATGAGTTTTAGGCCAGCCTTCTGTAAAGAAGGTCTTGGTTAAATAGTTTCTACCCTGCTGTCTTGAAAGGGTCAGACTGTTTAGAGCTCTACTTCCAAAGATTCTCATTCAGTTGGTGAGTGCTGGGGCCATGGCTTTCTGTGTTAGGCACACACCCTGGTCAGTTTGCCCAGACCAATGCTTGAGGACCTCCAGGCTACCTAAAATTAAGATTAAATTTCCAATAATTGGAAAGCATATTCCTATCTCCTGACACTGTAAGTGTGCCTTTAACTAATTATATTTAGTTAAAAGACAAATTGTTGCTGTTCATGGTGGTGCATGTCTCCTAATTCCAGATACTTGGGAGGCTGAAGCAGGAGGCTGACAATTTCTAGATGAGCCTGGATAATTTAGAAGTGTTTTATCTTTAAATTGAGTCTATGAATATAGCTCCATACCCCCTGGTTTCATTCCCCCACTACTGTGAAAAACAGAGACCATTCCACTCAGGTTTTAATGTTTTGTGATGAACAATTTTTCCTCAATACAGTGGTGTCACTGTACGTATTTATGTATTTATTGGTAAGAGTTGATAATACATGTTTGTTGGTGGTAGGGTGGCTATGAATGAAAAAAGTGAATCTCTTTTGACTGTAGCTAGCAATATTAGAGATGAAAGAATAAATTCCTCTGAGAAGCAATTTTAAATCTGAAGTTGAAGCTGAGATGTGGTGGCACATGCCTATAATTCCAGAACTCTGGGAGGCTGAGGCACGTGAATCACTAGTTCAAGCCCCGGTCTTGGAATAGTAAGACCTCATCTTAGACTACTCAAAAGGACTGGTGATAATGCTCAATGCAGAGGCCTTGTGCTCAAACTTCAGTTTCACATACGTATGTACATCATACATACATACATACTTTGAAGTTGATATTAGTTCAGTGGAAATTTTGATGTACTGTGGTCTTTTAATTGAACTGTTTTCCTTATGTTCATTTAAAGGGTTGTGTTGTAATTGTCCAATAAGAGGGAAGAAATAAAAACATAGTGCTTGTGTGTAATGACATTTTATCTAAAGATTTATCTTATTTATCTTGTTAGCAGGCCTTTTTAAAAAACTTTTGTCAGGCTGAGGAGGTAGCTTGGTGGTATAAGCGCCTGCTTCGTAAGCACAAGGAGCCAGGTTCCATCACCGCATGCCGTGCTGGCCCCAGAATTGGGCACGCTGTGCCGCCACCACAACCAGACATGGTGGTGCACGTCCGCTGGGAAACTGAGACAGGAGATCACTGCAAGTCCAAGCTGTGTAGTGAGACCCTATACCAAATAAATAAATAAAGTTGGTTTTTTTTTTTTTACTGTAAAAAAAAAGTTTGTCAGAGGAAAATTTTATCTGCTCTAAAAAAGGTGATAATCACAGAGATAAAGAATGTTCCTTATATAGAGCACCTGCTTAGGTAAATGCAGGGACGGGGTCAATCTGCCTTGCCGTGCTGGCGCCACCCCCCGGGCGGGCTGAAACACTGGCATGGTGGTGCCTGCCCCAGCGCTTGGGAGGCTGAAAACAGGAGGATTACTGTAAGTCCGATCTGTGTAGTGAGACCCTATAGACCCTGTATTAAGTACATTTTTTAAAAATACTAAAATAAAACAATAAAAAGTTCATTATAGAAAAATTAGGAAAACATTAAGTACAAAATTTTTTTAAAATTCCATGATTTTACCACTAGATATACTCACCATAAACATAATTGTGTATTCCATGTACTCTTTTATGCTTGTGTAATACATTATATGGTTTTCTAATTTTTGAAAAATAGCAAAACTTTTACATATTAAAATATGACATACTTGACTGCCATCATCTTTTAGATATTAAGTTGGTTTTTTATTGTTACACATCTTAGACATAGAATGTAGATTTTTTAGTATTTAAAATTATGCTGGAGAGTAAATAAATTTTATGCCCTTTATTTGTGTTACTTTGTAAGCTCTTGTAATAGAATATTCATGTGACAGAAACTTACACTTTTGTCATTAAATGTTTACTTCTGACATTTATATATTTTCATGTTATTTTCTGATAATAAGGTATGAAAAGGTATAGTATCAACATACTATTGGTTGTTTTGTGTTTTTTTTTTTTGTTCCTCGAATGCCTTCAGGGCACTTTTGGCCAGCAGGAGAGGTGTGAGGTTCGAACTCCAGCAACCTGAGTCTGACAGCTTTGTGGAAGCAGCCACTTAAAGGCCTAAGCTAGGGCCAGGCCCCCTTTACTATTGATTTTAAAAATGTGATGCCGTGATATATTTATTATCTGTTCCTTTCGTGCTATTTTCTGTAGAAGAGAACTTGTACAATTTTATTACCAGTATAAATTGTATTATTTTGTTTTGTAGCTCGCTTATCGCCAATCTTGGTTAAGCTGTGTAATTATAGTAATATATTGACTGGGGAATATCCAGGGATGGGATCTCTTTTATAATGAGTCCACTCTATTAAAATACATCTTTGTGATGCCAGGTTGGGTTGCATCATCCCCTGACAAATGCTGTTCCTACTAAAGGTGGTACATGTGCAGTGCTGGCTGTTGCTGTTTGTACTTGTTCAGGTAGATTGGAAGGGTTCCTTAGGTAAAAAGATTACAGTAGTAGTTAATGTCCTTGATCTTTCTGTATTTTCTTTTGTATTCTTTCTCCTCACTTAATGAACTCTTCCCTTCAGGCATTCACTCATCCCTTTTATTTAGGAAATGATCTGGAAAAAGAAAAAAATAGAAATTTGATATGTCACATATATGCAAGCAGTTAATTGTCAGCAGAAGAATTGATAGAGGAGTATTGGACTGTGTGCTTCAATTGTTTTTTGTTTGTTTGTTTTTGTTTTTTGTTTTTGCAGAGCCAGGGATTGAACTCAGGGCCTTGCACTTGCCAGGCAAGCACTTATTCAACTGAGACATTTCCCCGGCCCCTTTGAATTTTTGAATGTAGTAAAAAATTT